TGGGTTTTGTTCCACCTCCTGCTCCTCTGCCTGTTACCACTCTTCTGCTCCTGTCCCCTTTCTGCCCCCAGCCCGGTTTGGCCTTCCTGGCCCCAGCTCCCCGGCCCCTCCTTCTAGCCCAGCTCTCAGCTCCCAAGAGGCCCCAACTTCTCTCTGTGGAGCTGGAGCTCCCATAGCACCTCTTCTAGCCCGCACAGCTGTGGGGCAGTGGGGAAACCAAGGCACGTCTGACCCCAGGGCCCTGTCTCCAGGGGCACTGTCAAAGGTGGGGAGGCAGCTGCTGCACAGGCTCCTTCCCGGAGGAGACAGCTGCACGTGCGCAGAGAGGGCGAGGACAGGCTCCAGCGGGCAGGGGTGGGTGAGGGGCTGTTCGATTCCGGACGGAACCAGAATGCTGTGCCCGAGGAGCTGGCACTCCGCTGGCAGCCAAGGGTGAGAAGGGCGAGGGCGGCCACTCCGCGGAGGGGGCAGCTTCTCAGGGCGGCCCTGCCCGCCAAGCCGCGTGGCTGAGGGCTGGGCAGGCGGGTGGGGTGTGCGCCCTCTGTCTTCCCGGAGCTGCAGTGTGGGGGCGTGGAGTTCCCTTCCCTCTGGGCCTTTTGAGGGGCTCCCGTGGCGCCTGGTTGTGGGGTGAATTCGGGCAGGAGCAACAGCGGCAGCAGAAGCGGTGGCCCAGGCCCAGGCAGCCAGCAAGGGCACCGGGCATGGGCTCGCCCAGGGCCCCGAGAGCCGGCCTGCCTGGCGCTGGGCGTGCAGACGCAGGCCGCGGTCTCCTCTTCCCCAGACTAAGCGCACGTGCCCACCATGCGGCTCCCCACGTCAGCCCTCGGAGGGGGAAGGACAGGAGGCGCTCCGACGGCCGGCTCAGGTCCGCACTCCTCCTCCCGCCGCGCGGCCTGGCCAGGTCACTTAGCCTTTCTGCTCCTTGTTTCTTGAGGCGAGATGGGTGGTGATGAGGACAGCGAGGACCCTCCTCCTTACTGTGGGGCTGCAGGGCTGCTTGCGGGGCTGGGGAGGGCGCAGCTTGTCGCTGCAAAGGGCTGTGCGCTCGTCCCTGTCCCCAAGACTCAGACGCCATGGGCCACTCCTAGGACACCGGCAGGTGCAGCCCTCGGCCGCGGGCACCCCTTGCTCTCTGGGACTGTGGGTGGGTTGGACCCTGCGACCTGTCCGCTCCCCCGAAGGCAGTTGCTTCAGGATTCCCTGGACCATAATTCTGCTTCCCCTCATTCTGTCCTTTCCCCAGGCTGTTGACCAACTCTCTGAGGGAGCCTTTTCGTTCCATTCTCGACTCTAAAACTCAGAATGGCTCTCAGATCTGCTTCCTGCTATGTCATCCTTGGGCCAAGACCTGAACAAAAACATCTCAGCTGCCATCCAGAAGGGGCCCTGAGCGCAGGGAATGCCAGGAAATTGAAAACCCTTTGGTTACTCATTTCAAAGATAGGATCCTGCTACAGACGCCTCCCCTTAGGGGAGCTGCAGCCCACCTGGACATGATTGCTGGGGTCCCAGCTGATCAGCCACCCCAGGGAGACCAGCAGCATCCTGTGGGGGGCTGCACACAGAGGCGAGTAGACCAGGGGCAGCGTCCTCCCGCCTCTGCAGGAGATGGGCGGCACTGGCAGCTCGTTACTCTGGCCTGGTGCATTAAAGACCATGGAGCAAAGGCCATCAGAGCTCTGGTCACTGTGGCTCAGCATGGCCAGGCACAAGAATGCAGGAGCTCCTGGGGGAGCAGGGGAGAGAGAGCAAATAGCCTACTCCTGGCCTTGGGGGGACTAAGGGGGCAACCCAGTGCAGGTGGGCAAAGCCCAAGGCCAAGGTGACGCCAAGGGGATGACTATGAAGCCAACCCAGGACTGAGCCACTGGCCAGAGCTCCCTGTAGCAAGGGTCTATTTGGGGAACAGGCCTGCTAGGAGCAGAGTGTGGTCAGGGTCTCTCCACGGCCTGGGCTTCAGGGTTAAGCCCATTGTGGAGAAGACTGAAGTGGCCAGTGATTGACAAGGTGAGACATCAGCCTGGCTGCCAGGTCCTGCTGGGACAGAGAAGGGTGGGAGGGTGGCAGGGCCAAGGCTGTGTAGCCCCAGGCCTGGGGGCTGGGCAGACTCCACTGACCTTGGGTCTGCTCCCTGTGTCCTGAGCAAGACTGAAGCTTCCAGGGGCCAGACTTGGGGCAAGGCTATCACCCACCAGGTGACCCAACAGGCCCTGTCTTCCTCTCATCCACTTTGCCTGTGGGCTTTGGGACATCTCTACAGGGGCTGGGCCTTGGCAGAGAGGGAGTGTTCTAGAATGTAATGTCTGTGGCATCCCCCAAAATGATCATGATTAAAATAACAACAGCAGTAGTGATAATTCTGCTGGAGTTGAAATTGACATTTCTAAAGCATCTTTAGAAAATGTTGCTGTTTTAATGGGCCTGTAACATACATTTAGTTAAGAATGCTTGCTTGGTATAAGCCTCTTCAAGACATGCCCAGCCCAGCACAGGCCTGCTGGCTGCCCCAAGCCCTCCTGTGGGGAATGTTGCCGGGCAAGGACTCCAGGGTCGGCCAGGAGGGCACACTCTGATGCCTTTTGGGGGCCAGGAGGGCACTGAGGGTGGCAGGCAGGCGGCCTGGTGACTCAAGCCCTGTGTGTCCTGTCTCCGGGTATGGCCGTGAAGCACGACCTGGTGCTCCCCTCAGGGACCCCATCGCCTAATTCCTCAAGAGAAGCTGGATGTTCTAGATTTTTTTAAAATGTGAAATCTCTCAGTTTTCAAATACTATCAACCAAATAGGGAATTTTTTAAACACACCATGGCCCTCACAGGCACCTCTGTGTTCTGCCTTCGCTCTGGGGCTGCCGGGGGTGACCCCTAGACTGACGAGGGCGGCGGGCACCGTCCAGCCTCTTCCCCAGGGAGACGCGCTCCCACAGGAACTGCCATCTTCCTGCTTCCCAAGGTGGCTCTGAAGGTGAGCTGTCTCTGCTCATTGGAAATGCAAAGAAATAAATGTATAAAGATCGAGTGGCAATTCCTCAACCCCCGTCAGGTCTAAGTTGCTGGCGTTTCCTCTGGAATGGCAGGAATGGCCTGAGTCCTCTCCAGGCAGCAGGGCGGGCCGATCAGCTCCGCATGAGCAGTGCCCGCAGGGCTGCTGGCCGGGCCCTGGCCCAGAGCGTCCTGGGGCAGCCCCTGCTTGCGCATGTGTGCGCATGATGTGTGTGCGTGTGTGTACGTGTGTGCGTGCGTGTGCATTAGGGCGACACACGGGCCTGCAGAGCTGAGGGGACAGGGACCCCAGAAGGCACAGGCACCCCAGCAGTGCTCAGCCCTGGCCTGTGTGCTCTTCTTTCCTGTCTGAGCCTCTCCTCTGCCTCGCACCTCCACTGTCCCTCCTGGTCTCATCTCGCCCCAGCCAGGTTGCAGGCTCGTCCGAAGCTTAACAGTCTTGTCTGAGATAGAAAGTAGGGTGTGGGGAGGAGCTCCTGGCTGAAATCGGCCATGCTGGGGTTCCATCAGTCTCCCCATCTATAAAATGGGGACGGCAATTTACGCTGGAGAGACCCGCTGTCAGCACTGCGTAAGGAGGTGTGCACCAGGACTGGCGGTGGCAGGCCGCCCCACTTGTCCCTGAGCAGCATGCTGCCTTCAGAGGCCTGGCTCCGCCCCCAGGGCCTGTCGGGGGTCCCCTGACATGGAGGGAGTGCCTGTCCCTGTCTAGAGGAGGCCGGAGACACGAGGCTTTGAGGAAGAGTGGGAAGACTGTGGAGGGGTGCTGCAGGGCTACAGACAGTGGAGCTGAGCTCTTGGTTCCACCCTCGGCTGCGTGGGCCTCGGCGTGGCCTCTGCCGCGTGAGTGGTCGGTGTCTGGACGACCTGTGGGCCTGCGTCCTTCCCAAGCCAGGAAGGCCAGCCTAGGGAATGTCATGGAGAAGCAGGAGCCCGGGCTGGGGTCCTGGGCTGGGCGCGGAGCTCAGTGCAACTTCCGGACGCTTTTGCATCGGGACTTAGCAGGCGGTGGGCAGTGGGGTCTGGGGCCACCACTGATGCTGAAGGCGACCTTGAGGGGCGGGCTGGGGGAGGGCTGGGAACTGGAGCTCTGGTCCACAGGGCTGCGGGCACAGTGGGAGCGGCGCAGAGACAGAAGCGCAGCTGTGCCGATGGCAGGGAGGACGGCCTGAGCCCGGGGCCCCCGTGTGGCTGCCCCACGCGGCCAGTGCAGAGCCTGTGCCGCAAGAGGTCAGTGCTGCCCGCCGGCTGTGGCGAGGGGTCACAGGAGGGGCTGACCTTGGTCCCTGCACAGCTCGGACCAGGGAGGGTGCAGTTCACCTGGGGAGGGCAAACAGAAAGTCCTGGCCCAGGAGGGAGGGCGTGGACCTGGCCAGGATGACGGGCTGTGCTTCAGTGGAGGGCTGAGCAGAACGTTCTGGGAGGCGGGCCCAGGCTGGGCCTCGGCCCCCGCTGTAGCAGGGCAGGGACACCTGGGACACTGGTGCTTCGGCACGAGGAGAGCCTTTGGGAGCAGGCGGCGTGGATGGGTGTGAGGCGCTGGCTCTGCCCACGCCCATGCGGCTGTGCAGGCCACTCTTCCGGCCTCTCTGTGGCTGGGGGCCAGCCCCGGGCTGCGCAAGGCCCACTGCCATGCTGGGCTGAGTGTCTCCGGTCTCAGCAGGCCTGTTCCATCGTGCCGAGGGCACCGTGGCCTCTGCTGTGGCTGGAGGTGCCGCCAGGGCTTGGGGGAAGAGCTGGCCTAGAAGCCACGGAGCTGTTGGTTTGAGCACTGAGTCTGAGACAACTTGGCAAGTCACTACCGCCCCTGTTTGGACCTCATTTCGTTGTTCTGTAAAATGGGGACAACGCTGCCCTTGGTTCAGGGTGCTCGAATTTTAAATGAGATTATGGCTGAGCTGGTGCCTGGCTGGTGCTGAGTTGCATCCGAGTGGGGTTTTGTGCCACTGTGATGTCCCTGGGAGCCGGCTGCTGCTGAAGACAGTGTCCTCTCCTTCTAGGGGACGCCCTTGCCAGCCTGGAGAGCCTCGGCCGAGCCCTGGGCGTCCTCCAGGAGCGCGTCGACAGCTCGCGGCTGCGGGCACGCAGGCACGCTGCCGACGACGACTACAACATCGAGGTCCTGCTGGGCGTGGACGACTCCGTGGTGCAGTTCCACGGCAAGGAGCACGTGCAGAAGTACCTGCTCACGCTCATGAACATCGTAAGTGGGCCGGGGCCGGGGCGGGCCTCGGGGGGCCCTGCTGGTCTCCGTTAGCTGTGGCGTGGCCGCGACGAGGCGCTCTGGCCACAGGCGAGGAGAGCGGCCGCCCACCGGCCTCGCCGAGCCTCGGCTTCCCCGTCCGCAGGGTGGGCGCTGCTGCCTGGCCCAGGCTGTTCACACTCTGAGGCCATTTTTCACAGACTCCAGTCATTTGTGCACCAGGGTTTTGTTTTGTTTTGTTTTGTTTTTTTGATGTTTGACATTTTTAAAAGATAAAATTATTTAAAAAGGAAACCTCACTTTATGTAAAAAGTGACCTAAAAGTAAAACACAGAATGATGTCATTCAACCCCTGCCTTTCGCTGGCTCGGAACCGCAGCCTGCTTTCTGTTAAAAGGGAGATCAGTGTGTGTTAGAGTGGGAAGGACAGACAACACCAATCCAGGGCTTCTCGTTGAAACGAAAGAGGGAATCCCTTTCTCCCTGCAAGTCTTTGTGTCGCCTCAATCTTCCTGGCCATTGCCCCTTGCCTAGCTACTGCTAGGGAATTAAAGGATCGCCCCTCTGCATTCCAGAGACCTCATCCTGGGCAGGAGGTACAAGGGTGCTGGATAGTGCCGGGTCATGGGTGCATGCCAGCGCCTGTCCTGCTCGGAGTGGAGACCTGTCCCCTCTCTGTGCCTTGCTCAGGCAGACCTACTGTGAGGACGTGGGCCATCCACCCTTCAAAATGCAGGCTCCCCGGGGGACAGGGCTTGCGCAGCATAGCTCTGCGGGGAGCAGAAGGGCTGGGAGGGAGGTCCAGGTGTGGTGGGAAGGTAGATGTGGTAGGTGGAGCAGCATTAGTGGGAGGAAGCCAAGGCTTAGGGAGGGCTGGCAGTGGAGTAGAAGCCACGGGGCTACACATCGAAGCTCACAGATAAACGAGGTCCTGCAGGGCTCTGGCAGGAGGTGGCAGCTAGGGGTACAGAGGTCTGCTCATGGCCTGTTGCTCAACTCTGCTTTCTGGGCCAAGTGGTGAGCCTGGGAACAAAGTGAAAAGACACATCAGGGCAAGCGGGAGGCTGTGAGTGAGCTGACCGCTGGACAGCGAGAGAGTCCTGCCTGGGACGTCACCTTCCCCTTGCCCTACTTTGGATGAGTCCACGAGCCCTCTGGATGGCAGCCTTCTCATCTGCAAAGTGGGCCAAAGGCCACTGCACTTGCAGAATGCATTTTATTTTGGAGAGTATCATAACACTCATTCTCATCTCATTTTTGAAATGTACCTTTAATGCAATAATAACAATAAAACCATAATGGATGCATTTATTGAGCCCCTAATATGTGTCTATGTGTCAGGTCCATGCGAGGCACTTGCCATGCTAAATTACCCTAGGGAATCGTCACACTAAGTCTGTGGGATGGTAGATCTTGTCTGCCTTCAGAATATGTCTTCTGTCGAATCGCAGCCTTTCGGCTAAGATCAAGTGCAGAATATCCCTTCCCCAAGCGTTATCTTGCCTTCCAACCCAGTGCAGAAAAGAACTGGGCTTGGAATTAGTCCCAGGTCCATTCTCGGCCTCATCTTTTCCAGGTGTGTCATTGGGAACATGGCTTCCATCCTCTGAGCCTTGGTCTTCTCATCTTTATAATGGGTCAATAATTTCCATCTTGGGGATTGTTGTGAGGATTAAATGAGATAATAAAGGTGAAGTTGCTTTTCAGTCTCTAAATATAGTGAACATGTTTTCCGTCTGAAATAAAATATGGTTTTGTTATCTTGACAGTGACAATATTTAATTTAGTGATAGCATATAGGAATCATTTTTGAGAAGTCCACCAAAAACTCTGAGTGGAGTTGGGGTGTCCATGGAGAGTTCTTCAGGAGGCCTTTTCCCTGGTGTGGTATGGAGGGTCTCTCTGCCACAGAGAGCTGGTTGGAGAAAGTCTAGAATTTTCTCTTGGTTTTGCCATCTAACTTAAATTCATTCTTTCAAATGCTTGTGATCCAACTATACCCCCATTTTGGATAATGGGATGGTTATTCTAGAAAAGCATGAAAAATATGAAAATTCTTAAATCAAAATTAACTTTATCATAACAAAAAAAGGATTTTAGGAGATAAACCTGAGGAATTGAGAAAGAGTATCTGGGCCATGTCTTTTTTCCCTGTCTCGCAGATATGTGGTTATTTATTCGGCCAACAGTTGTTGAATGTGTGCTTGTCCCAGGCACAGCTGTGTGCCCTGCAGAGTCAGAGAGCCGTGCAGAGGGGCCTGGGGCCTGGGAGACCAGTGGGCAGCTGGGTGTCTCTGCCTCTGAACTGAGTGCCACCTGGCGCCACAAGAGTGCAGCATGGGCAAGGAAGATCGGGCACAGCCGTGCTTGGAGCGTGGTGCTGCCCTGACAGGTATTACCCTGTGTCCTCACTGAGAGTGTGTGCACACCCAGAAGAAAGTCCCAGGGACTGATCTGAGGCATGCGGGATCCTTTGGTGGCCTTGGGGAAGAGGGATATTGAGCAAGAGGGGGTGTTTGAGAAAGGATGACCTTCTAGAACATTGCTGTCCAACAGAGCTTTCTGCAACAATGGAAATGCTCTCATTTGCCCTGTCCAATGTGGTAGTCACTAGCCATGCTGGCTATTGAGCACTTGAAATACAGCTGGTGCAATTGAAGACCTGAAGTTTTAATTTAATTTGTTGTTTTATCTAATATAATTTTTATTTTAATTAAAAAATTTTAATTGTAAACTATGCAGAACATAAAAGTTACTATCTTCACTGTGTTTAAGTGTACTGCTGAGTGGCATTAGTATAGGGACACCCCTGTGCAGCCGTCACCACCCTCGATCCATAGAACCCTTTGCTTCCTGTTATGTTGAAACTCTGTCCCCATTAAATGCTAACTCCTATTCCTCGCCCCCAGCCCCTGGCAGCCACCAGTCTACTGTCAGTCACTATATTGACCACTCTGGGTACCTTGCGTGAGTGGAACCATATAGTGTCTGTCCTTTTGTATCTGGCTCATTGCGTAATGTCCTCATCTGTGTTGGAGTATGTGCCAGAATTTCCTTCCTTTTTAAGGCTGACTAATATTCCATTGTGTGGACAGACCACATCTTGCTTGTCTGGTCTTTTACCAATGGGCACGGGCTGCTTCTACCTTTTGGCTGCTGTGAGTAGTGCTGCTATGAACATGGGCGTGTAAATGCCCGTTCTAGACCCTGCCTCCATCCTGTCCACCCACAAGTGGAACTGCTAGATCGTACAGTGATTCTCTTTTTAATTTTTTTGAGGAACTTCCACACGGTTCCCACAGCAGCTGCACTACTTGCTTTACATTGTCACCAGCAGTGCACAGGGTTCCAGTTTCTCCATGTCCTCATAACACTTGTTATTTTTTTTTTTGATAGGAGCCATCCTAATGGGTATTTTATTTTAATTAATTTGCACTTAGATATGAATCACAGTGTGGCTGGTGGCTGCCGTGTAGGACGCTGCAGTGAGGTCTGTGTACAGCCGGCTGTCCTCAGTGCCCTGTCTCTGAACTTGGCCACTGTGGTGGCACAGGCAGTCCCTGGGTGTGGGCACCTTCAGCCGTACCCCCAAATGGCCCTCAAAGTAGCCAGTAGCTCGTTACATTCCTCTTGTAAGTTCACAGCTGGTCGTGGGGCTTCTCTGGACTGGAGCAAAGCAACAGCAGGAGGACAGAGGTGGTGGCGGCCGGCAGGGCTGGGTGCCCGGTGAGGGGCTTGCTTGGCTGTGGAGCACATGGGGCTGGCTGGCAGCGTGTCCAGTGCGCAGGGCTCGGGAGCCGGCCCTGGTGGCAAACTGCCCATTGAACTGGACATAAAGAGTGGCAGGCACAGCCTGTCCCCGTCCCCTGGAAGGCCATTGAGCCCCGGGTGGAGAGTCTGGTGGGGCTCCCAGGGGCAGGGACGCAGGGCGTGCAGGTGTGGCAGAGGCAGGCGAGGGGCTGGGTGGAGGCAGGGCTTCAGCCTGGCAGCTCTCTGCTGCCGTTTGCCTCTCGTGCAGGGCAATTTCTGCTGCAGGACTGCCTCGGGGATCTCCTCAGGCAGAGCTGGCGGGGTGATGGCACCCCGGTGTGCCACAGACAGTTCAGGGTCACCAAATATCCAGGTGTATGTTCTCTAACCTCCAGCCTCCCTTGCAGCTAGTTTGTGGCTGTGTGGTTAGTTCTGCCTAGTGGTTTGTGTGAAGGGAAGTGCTCTGAGTCACCTGTTGGCCGAAGCAGTTAAATGTGTCCCGTCCATCTGCCTCTCCCTGCCGCAGTAGCTTTGGAAGCCACATGTCCCAGTAAGTGCACGACCACCAGGATAGGGCCGCCGCCCGCCTGGGCTGTGGCGTGAGCGAGGACGCACACTCGGCCTCTCTGGCTGCCGCAGCCCAGCCTGCCTGGCTCTGCGCCACACGCCGGGCCTGCCCACTGGACGCAGAGGTTGGCTGGCGCCTACTGTGTGTCAGGCAGGAGCTGCAGCAGCAGGCAGGACAGGCAGAGCCCCAGCTACCAGGGCTTGCACTCTGGCGAGGGTACACAGTGTTCAAGCGAAAAACAAATGGGCTAACTTCAGATCATGATGAATGCAATGAAAGCAACAAAGCAGCTGTGAGATAGAGAAGGAAGATGGTCAGGGGACGTCGGTGTGCAGGAGAAGCACTTGAGCTGAGACTTGAGTGATAATGGAAGGCTGTGGGAAGAGATGGAGTAGAGTGTTCCGGGCCCAGGGGATGGGCCGTGCAAAGGCCCTGAGGCAGGAATGGGGTTGGCACATTTGAAGAAATGAGCAAAGGCCAGTGTGCTAAGGAAGGTGGGTAAAGCTAGTCCCTGTGGGCTTCCTGATGTGGAGAGGGAATGGACATAGCTCTAAGGACAATGGGAAACTGCCGGAGACACTTTATTCCCCTTTTTCATAGGAAAATGGAAATCAATCAATCTGCACATCTCTTCCTCTCAGACCCACTGGAGGGGAGAAGGATTGGAAATGTTTGCTGAGCA